CCTACGACCGTTCATAGGTATTTGAATTTACTACATATCATTTGCTCTTTCTTGAAGTGAATTGGACTGTGGTATTTGCTGGCCATTGAATGGTGATTGAATTTTGGGGTGTCGTAGCATCCACTACTTGTCGTTGATTAGCACTTATAGGCTTGTTACAAATTTCTGGTTGTCGTCGACAAGCGTTAGCACCTTTTATATGCTACACTAAATGTATGTCCTTGCTGGCAATAGTATTTGTTGAGGGTTTTCAAGTCGTTCTTTGCAACCAAGTTATGCTCTCTGCTATAGCTATATCATTCATCATTTGCAGGCAATCATGCTTGCATGATTGATTTGGATGCTACACACCAGTCATTATCATTTGTAGGTGACTTATGAAGTTTTAAAGGCTCCACATGCTTCCTTGTATATATGTGTTGCATGCATCACTAATCTCCTTATGCATAATAATTATTGAATGATTGTATTTGTTTATCTGCTCTTTCATTATTATTTGCGAGAGGGAGCATTGCTTCTAATGTTATGAATGAGCCATTATGATCCAATGGCTTCCTCCCAAAACTATGATTTTGATATAAAATCATATTCTTCATGCTCTTCTTGCTGCTTGTAATCAAATTGTACTTGTAAGTTTCTTTGCGATAAACTTGAGATCAAATTCATCAATCCCTTCTCTTCAGTTGAAATAATTGATACAGTCTGATCATTACTGCTCACATAGGTTTCATCACACTTGTAATGAATTTTCATATGAGTCTTTGCTTGCTTAGATGGGATTCTGATGGACCACCTTCTTTAATTAGCATTTGCGTTCTAATTGGAATGATAACTCTGCTGGGACATTGATTATTTTTCAAATCAAATTCTTTATAATTCCTCTTTTGATATTCATTTGAATACATGTTAGACCAAATACCGGTTCATCACATGATATTTTGATCTTGTTTCATGAAATTTGTTTAAATTAGCTCCTTTATGATTCATTGAAGTTCTTGCAGTTTCGTTAAGTTCAAGTCCGAGTGCACATGTCCAAGTGCTCAAATTCACAGATCCTTATATTCACCCGGTTTGAGTTCAAAGCCCCTTATGGTCCAACTCAAATTCTTGTTTGAGTTCAAATGATCGAATTATGTCCAAATTCAACTCAAGTTTCAGTCCAATTTCATTGCCACTTGTTACAAGTCTAAACTTATGTTCGATTTTATTCTTTTGTGTTCAAACCGGTCCGAGTACAATCATATTTTCACCTGAAATTTTGGTAGCCTCCAGGCGTCTCCCCCGTTTAGGGGAAAACTACGAAAAATTAGGCCTCCCGCCATGCTAGAGAAAATTGTGTACAGTAGGTGCCCTCGTACGAGGATATCGCGGCTATGAAATCTTTGTCCCTAACACCCCAGAGAAAAGCGTGTATGGGTCTTCAGTACCTATTGTAAAAGAGAAGCAGTTTTTCCCCGCAAGTGGGTACTTATGAATATCTCGGTCTCGCCGTAGGTGCCACATCGGGTTTCCATCCCACCATGCTAGAGAAAAGTGTGTATAGGCGGTTTGCCGGCTCGACACGAACGTCGAGAATAGGATTTTGGAGCCGAGGGGTCGCTCACCTACCTTTTCGTAGGTGTTGCGCTGGGTTACCTTCCCACCACGCTAGAAAAAAGTGTGTATGGGAGGTTTACCGACCCAACACACATGCCGAGGTAAGAGAAGCATTTTTTTATTATTAACTTTAATTAATTATAATTAATAATAATTAATTAATTAAAAAGATATGGATGATTAATTATAATTAAGTAATTAATTATAACTATTTACCATTATTAGTAGTTAATTATAATTAAAATAATTTAGTTTGATTAATTTAAATTAATTTTAATTAATAATATTTAATTAAAATGAAAAATAATTAGTTA